TAACTGACGTTTTGGGACGTCTTTTGACCATACGTCAATATTCGCCTTTTTAGGGCCCCCTTAAACGTCGGTAGATGAGGTTATGGGATCCTAACTCTACCCCATACCTAAACCTAACCCTAAACCTAACCCGTCACCTAACTGACGTTAAAGGTAAAGCGTCAGTTGTATGACGGCCCGGGATCGCCATCTACCGACGTTTAAGGGGGCCCTAAAAAGGCGGATATTGACGTATGGTCAAAATACGTCCCAAAACGTCAGTTATAAGACTTTTTTGGGATGAGACTGTGTTATAGGTATGTAGGTATGTAAATCCATTCTGCTGACAAAGCCAGTGACTGGTGACTATCTTGACACTCTTGGGATGTTGCCTGTTAGTATTAGGTTGGGTGAGGAAGTTTTCTCCCATAATGTCCAACATTAGCAAACATCACGCTGAAATTGATCTCAGGGAGAATCATTAAAAATTGTGAAACTGGACTGTTCCTCTCTTGTATTCACAGCATACAGTTCCCCTTAGGTGTAGTTGCCATGACGCTAGAGCCCATTGTGATCCCAGCCAGGTCACAGATGAAGGTTTTGGCAAGGATTCATCCCAATATTGGGGAAAAAGAGTTCACATGCAATTATGATGGAATTTTAGAAAACAGTACCAGGTCTTTTTGTAGCACGTACAGTGGCCTCTGTAAGAGCAGGCGTGACGTGTACGAGCTATGAATCCGACGGGTGAGAATTTCCATGTTCCTTGTGGAACGAGGCTGGGTTGATTTCCATTCTTTAGTCTCTCAACCAGGTGAAGAATATACAATGTTGGAACCCACAGTAGCTCAGATACAGACAAAAATTGAACCCTGCCCAAAACCCAAGGTAGACCTTGGTCAATCTGCATTGGACAGAGAACAACAGACTCAGCAAGAGGCTATGATTTTCAAATATGCGGATATCTTCAGTACAGATGATTATGACTATGGTTGTACAGGTTTGGTCAAACATATCATTCGTACTGGGGATGCACAGCCCATAAAGCAAAGAGCTTATAGAACATCACCACATATGCAAGTTCTAGTTGTAGTCCCTTGGTGTCGAGTTGTAGTCACTGGGCTTCCCCTGTCTTCTTAGTAAAAGAGAAAGATGGCAGTTACAGGTTCTGCATTGATTTCAGGAAGCTTAATGCAGTCACTGTAAAAGACTCGTACCCCTTACCCCGACCATCAGATGCTCTAGACAGCTTGTCAGGTGCATGTTGGTTTAGTACAGGGTTTCTCAAACTCGGTCCTGGAGGGCCGCAGTCCTGCAGAGTTTAGCTCCAACCCTGATTAAATACACCCAGCTGTGACTTTCTAGTGATCCTGAAGACCTTGATTAGCTTGCTCACGTGTGTTTGATCAGGGTTGGAGCTAAACTCTGCAGGACAGCGGCCCTCAAGGACCGAGTTTGAGAAACAGCAGTATGACATTTTTTTCCACCCACATAATAAGCCATATGGTATCCGTACTGTACTGCATTTTTTTTTTAACAAGCGATTTAATTGTTGCCAGCTTAAAAGTTTTTGGTACGTACCCTAATGAGAAAGATGAATTGATATAAAGAAGAGGATCTATGACCTCTGGAAGCATCTCTTTCAGTAAGTTAGCAAGAGATTGTATGGTGACAGCTGGAATGATGTAAATTGGACAGAGTTTGAAGCTTTTATTGGTTTGATCCTTCTTGCTGGTGTTTATCGCTCACGCAATCAGGCATTGACAAATTTGTGGGATGCTGAAACTGGTTGTTTGATTTTTCAGGCCGTAATATCTCTGCAGGAATTCACAATATTGTCAAAAATCATCCGATTTGACAACAAGAGCAGGTCGACAAGAGACTTAAAGTACAAGCTGGCTGCAATCCATCTCCCTCTTATGTATAACCCTGGACCAAAAGTAACTGTATGATTAGATGAGTTAATAATGCATTAGATGAGTGCTTGATTCCATTCTGAGGAAGATGCGGTCTCAAGCAGTACATGCCCAGCAAACCTGCAAAGTATGGAATCAAGATCTGGGCTGCATGTGATGCCAGAATAAGTTATGCTTGGAATTTTTAGCTGTACACAGGAAAGCCTCTAGATGGAAAGCCTGAAAAAAAAAAAGTGCATGGTCTTTGACTTGACCGCTGGTCTTCAGGGACACAATAATCTGTGACAATTTTTTTACATCACATGACCTTGGCCAGGAGCTCCTAAAAAGCAGCTGACAATGGTTGGGACAGTAAGAAGAAACGAGCCTAAGCTTCCACCTGCTCTTCTTTCAACAAAAGGCAGAGATCACTTTTCTTCTGTCTTTGCCTTCAATGACACACATTGCCTTGTGTCTTATTGTCCATTTAAGGCCTTTAAACACAAAAGCATCAAAAAACATATTAAAGCATCATAAGACGTATTATTTAGTAAGACCATTTACAGGCAAATTACCATAAGACATAAATGGTTTTCAAAGCTTTTAAGATTTAAAGCGCAACCTATGCTCCGATCTCCATAAAACTTTGCATGCTTGTTTACTATGTTATGCCACATATGCATTTTTGTGAAGTTCTGAATTTTCATTTAGGATTTATAGGCTTTTGAGTGTATTTTGTCATGCACTTTTTCTAAATGACTGTTACAGTCACCCAAATGCAAAAGTTCAGCTTCTTTTCGATAATTATTGATTTAGAGCAGGGCTGCCCAACCCTGCTCCTGTCGATCGACTGTCCTGCACAGTTAATTTCCAACCCTAATCAAACAGACCTATTTGATTAGGGTTGGAGAGAAACTGTGCAGGACAGTCAATTGGCAGGAGCAGGGTTGGGCACCCCTGATCTAGAGAGTCTAGGAGTTATGATCAATTTTAGGAGATGGAGAGTCCAGGTTTATCCAGTGGGGTTGTCGAGGTTTTGTTGCACACTCTACAACCCGTTTCCTCAGAGACGTCGGATTTAGTGGCCAAGAGTTGCGTCACACAGTAAAGAACTTATCTGAAGCAGCAGAAAGGAGCAGAAACTGGCTGTGGTTGAGACGGAAAGATTCTAGCTGGCTGTGTACAGGCCGCCATGCTTCGTATAATTCTTGAAAAACTTGAAGAGTCTGTTGGTTTATTTGTATAGGTTGCATAGTATTTACAGTCATTACATTCCTGTGTATATTGCCTGAATGACGGGTGATTGGGCAGGCATTGTGTTTTGCGGTAGGTTGGTGGTATGCTATACGGAACCGTTGTCACTGAAACTGCATTAACGCACCAGTGGGGCTCGACAGTAGGGATGGGCATTCGATTAAATTTTCTTAGTCGATCGTCGGAAGGATTAACGATCGACTATCGATTAATCATTAATATTTTTATATTCAAATTTATTATTTATTTAACTTTTTGTAAATTAAAAATGCAATGAAAACACAAAAATACAGCGTGTTTTTCCTCGATTAGATCTTTATTACAAGATGATCAACTTGTGGCAGTTAAAGCTGTTCGGTTAGGCTAAATTTGAAGATATGCGCAGCGGTGCTCTAACGCAACGGAACCTGCAGCTGTGAGTTGGCCCTCGTGAGACCCTCGTTTGTTCCAAAATAATAAATAATAAAAAAGAGATTAGCCTACCAATTAATTAGGCTAGACTACTTAAAGCCTCATAAAAAATAACTCACATATAACTTGTGCTCCAGTCTACTGACTTTTGTTGAGAAAGATAAGCATGTTGATAACATGACCTGGGGTCAGACGCGACCGCAACCTGCATGGTGACCATCCTAGTTTGCACTTTCGCCTGGCTCTTCAGCGCGAGTCTCTGCAGACTGCAAGTGCACCTCTCCAAACGGACGAGGTGTTTATACTCGATGCGCTCGCCTGACTGTGAAACACTGAAATACCGCAATGTCGTCATTTTTTCCACGCGCACCTTCACGCTCGTGCAGACGCATCAAATGTAAACAAATGCTTCAGTCCAGCCGCTGAATACACCGCTCAGGTGAGGGGACTGACGTTGCTGGCGGGATGCATCTCTGCGCTAACATCACCAGCCTGGGGAACAAGTTCACATTCCACTCACACTACGCAACGCAGCAGCATTACTTTAATGATAATCGATAACAAATTAACGTGATCGACGAAATTATTAATGATCAATAATCGATCGTCGATTAATCATGCCCATCCCTACTCGACAGCCTTAGTCAAACGGGTTGGCGTGTATGGTTGGGTTGCGGAGAGATTGTGGTTAGGTCTCAGCAGCAGGAGGGCTGTAGAGGTCAGTAAGCTGGGCTGAGTTGAGTGGGGATGGAGGGTGGTGACATTGGGATGCCAGAGTTACTGTCGAGCCCTCTTGAGGTGTCGTGGGCTAGTCGATGAAACACTGAGGACGGAAGGTGCCCACTTGAAGACCCTAGAGATGTCCCCTACTCAGCTCAATCCAGACGGATGTCGTGCTAGTCCACTGGGGAGACCACTGTAGTTGCAGCCGTCATGTGTGCTGACGCGCCAAGTACACTGCAGCCGTTAACAACGGACAGAAGGGGAGTCACACCACCATATGGAAAGAAGTGTAAATGGATGGAGAAGCATACAGTAGTTTACTGTAAAGCTATGTCTTAGTTTTGCTTATCTTGGTGAAATCAGCATGAAGTTTAACATCTACTCTCATGTAATGGAAATCATGCTGATTGGTATTTGCTCCCAGGTATTTTCCATACATTTAAAGCAAACATTCCTGTTTACAGGGCTGACAAGCTTCAAATATGACAAATGACAAAAAACAACAACAAAAAATGTTCACCTGTTGCTGATTGGATGGAGGCAGATCAGAATGTTATTTAGATTAAGAATTAAGAAACATTAAGAATGTAGTTTTTTTTTAAAGAATTAAACTTATGCTCACATTAATTGTTTACAATAAGATCAATGACATGCATTAAGCAAGGTGAATTTTCATTTCATGTCATCATTAATGTTTAAGATATAGTAACATGCAATTTGGGTTTGTTTTTATGTCAGGTATATTTTATGGACAGTCAGAAAAGACTGATAGAGGTCCATTAGACATCCAGAGAACAAGAAGAGACCAGCAAAATCCCAGCAGACACACTCAGAACCGAACTGGACAAGAGCCAATCAATGGGCTGTCCATTGACACGCTCCCTGACAACATGACACGAGTGGTGGTGAGTACACTATGGTATTACTTTTGTAACTTTTGTGTGTCTTTTTTCGGTTTTGAATGTTCTTAGTATCACATTCATTACTGATTCATACCATTCTGCCTCAGATGCTTTAAGCCTTGTTCAGACTGTCAGTCCAAATCAGATTTTTTGTGCATATCCTATTGGAGGACAGTCATGTTTAGCAAGTGTGCAAAGTAAAAAAAGAAAAAAAAATCACATGAAAATCGTTTCACGCGCAGTTTGCCATACTGGTAACACTTTATTTGAAGGGGTGTGCATAAGACTGACATGACACTGTCATAAACATGACATAACACCTGTCATGAACATGAATGAGTCTTTATGAATGTTTATGTTTACTGTTGTTATTAAGTGTCATTCGGTAAATTATGAAACTTTAAATGCAAAGTTGACATTGTTTAAAATGTCTTTGTTATGACAACTTGACATTAACAAAGACAAAAATGTCTTTGTTATGACAACTTGACATAACCAAGAAATCATAACCTGTTAACCTGTAATGTGTTAACATTACATTACCCTATCATATGTTATGGTTGGTTTTAACTTTGGTTGTCATGACACCATTATAACTGTGACATGAATATTTTACTTGTCCTCAAGTAAAGTGGATTGTACTAGTTATAAAGATGTCATTAAGGGTCATTACACTGTCAAATGCTTTTAACAACAGTGTCATTGATATTTCCCTTTACCTCAAGTAAAGTGGAACACGTTGGACTAATTATGATTTCTTGGTTAATGTCAAGTTGTCATAACAAAGACATTTCTGTCTTTGTTAAAGTCAAGTTGTCATAATCAAGATATCTTTGTCTTTGTTAATGTCAAGTTGTCATAACAAAAACATTTTAAACAATGTCAACTTTGCATTAAAAGTGTCATAATTTACCGAATGACACTTAATGACAACAGTCATAAACATTCATAAAGACTCCTTAATGTTCATGACAGGTGTTATGTCATGTTTATGACAGTGTCATGACAGCCTTATGCACACCCCTTCAAATAAAGTGTTACCGAAATACTTTTAAAATCACATTTCTGAAAATCTGATTCAGTCTGACCCCTCTGATCAGAATCTGTGTAGCTTTTCTGCTTAAGTCACTTTCTTACACCACATAAAATGTAAACATGTCAGACGTTGTTGTAGGAAACATGCTGAAAATCAATGCAGACAAAAGGTTGTGTTGTAGCAGTGTCAAGCAGAAATACTGCTAGTTGGCCTGGTATAAACATTTCTAATTTTAAGAAGAGTGGAGATAGCAGGAGGGATATGCTGCGCCTGTGAAGTCAAGACACCTTAATTAACATAGCACTTTTTACAATACAGATTGTTTCAAAGCAGTTTTACTGTGATAATAGGAAATTAATGTAACAAAGATTGTTTTGGGTTTAGAAGAGACAAAGATGCATTGCCAAATTCCAAGTCTCTGCAGATGTCAATGGGAATCACCCTACGGCATGGATCCAGCAGACTACGGTAAACCCAGGGATAAACAGAGAGACTAATATTAGCATAGATGCCATTCTTCTTCTTATGTAATGAGTATATCAGGTGTGATGGGAAGTGTTCCCGGTTCTGGCTGACCTAATATTTGCAGTCTAACAATCATTTTAAATGATTTTAAATACCAAGTTAAAGAGATGTGAAACCACACGTGAGATCGTTTTAGGGGATAATAATTACATAAATAAAAACTGAAAACTTTTAACACGTTTCAGCCATTCATTTACATGACATCTGTGTTTGGTGGGCTGAGAACACAAACTTTGAAATAAGTTTTGATAACAACACCATTATCATCTCTGTGCAAATCTCAAAAAGTAAATCTGAAAACAGTGACGGCATACATACTACATGTTTAGTCTATAGGTATGTGCATGGGCTTTCTTTAGAAGAGACAAAGAGACATTGCCAAATTCCAAGTCTCTGCAATACATATAGACATAATTTGGAAGATTACACCATGCTTATTGTCGAAAGTAACAAAACACAGAGCTTGTTATTTGGTGTTAATGGGGGTTAGGCTACAAAACTGAATTTGTTGTGTACTGTACACATAAGACATGAGGGCCATTGAGCTGGGCTGGGCGGGGCCGGGGTAGCAGATGACGGGGCGGGGCGTGTTCGATACGCAATGAGAGTATCGCGATTTGAATCGTGAGTTCTGTATCGTGGTTTTTCGGTTCAGTTCAAACATCGTTACACCCCTAATGTACGCAGTGGGCACAGTGCTGTCCGTATACGGACCAGTATGTGATTGCCAAGTACCAGCTTTTTGAAGCGGCCCAGGTCAAGCCATACTGCCAGCAACTTGAGGTAGTTGATGTACCAATGCAGTCGGGGTCCCGTCCATACTGCAATTTCTGCCCATAAGACAGGAATGTGGGGGGACACCAGGCAAACTGAATTGCATAGTCAAGTCTGAGGGTCCCAGTGAGTCAGCGAGATGGGCTGGAGTGCGCTAACCAGGCTCCCAGAGACTACACAAGTGGGATCAGTGGAACTGTCTGGAAGTGGAGAGCAGAGACCCGACCCAAAAGGCACAGAATTCCGAAGTGGGGTCTGAGTGTGCGGTGCAACACTTACCTGGCTCCACAGTTGGGCAGGGGCCCTGCACCCACTTGGGATAGATGAAATGCTCTTTTATTATTTTATTATTGGGTACTTTGGAATTTCGTGGGACAGAAACAAAAGTTTACAGACCATTCTCCACCCAGTCTCAATTCTCCAGTGGTGCGGTCACCATCAAGAGCAGCTAACTCCATCTCTTGGTCGCCCATCTCAAGGCCTCTTGCTCTTACATTTGAATGGTTTGGCAGGGACCTGGATGGGCTGCGCAGCCTTTCTGCAACTGGCTCCATGCTGTGGCTTAGGTTGAGGCAGCTGCTGAGGCTGTAAAGGAGTGGAGGAAGCTGCAGGAAGGCTATGCAGGCTGTCCAAGCACCTGCCCAGCCCTTCTTTGTGCAGCTGAGAACTGCTGGGCAAAATTCTCAACTGCGAAAAGAAAATCGTAGAGAAAACGATTTTTGTCAGTCTCCCTCATATCTGTCAGGTTCAGCCAGAGATGACGTTCCTGGACCACCAAAGTGGATATCATCTGACCGCAGTGAGCGCAGTGAATTTCGTCACTCGTAGCTCTGTCACTGTGCGCAGCTCCTACATTAAAACTGGGAGAGCTGAACTATATCTGACCCAGGAATAAACTGTTTGAGTGTTCCATAATGTGGCTGCTTTCATCTGACTCACTAATAATTTTATAGTGCTCATGAAAGGTCAGAGGACTCCCTGAACAGAGCCATACTGCCAAAAATTTTATTCAGAATTATCAACTTGAATTGCAATTTATTCAATAAAAATTTCCTAAATCATTTTTATTGTCATGTGTGTTCTTAACTTAATGGGCCTGACAGAACTACCCTTGTGAAACTCCTTAGTCCTCTGTGGTCTTGAGGTGTTTTCTGGGTCCTGGAGGTATTCTGACATGCTCTGACATTTGTGCTTTTTTCTGTTACTTGTGACATTTTCATTGCTAAACTATTATTACACTGTATTCAGCAGCACAATCTCTGCTACAGTCATTTGTCAGCAGCATGTATGTAAAATTTTGTAGTTATGAGATTTGACGTTTTGAAATTTGACGTTTATGTGTGGTTTGTGAAAAAAAAAATTGTCACTGAAATAGGGTCATAAAACCCATACTAATTATTTCTTCACAAGAATTTTGAAAATTGTATCACATAGCCTAGAGTATTTGCTCCAAAACTATGTGACTATGCTCCGAATCTTTCTAACTACTCATTCAGATAATACAATAAAGTCTTTTAAAATTTGCATGAAGTGTTTTGGGGAAGATAGCTTTAACCACCCTTTCTGCTTTTCACACCTAAGAAAGACAAAGACCCTCCCCTAATGGCCCTATTAGGTGCTACCGGGCCCTATATCATTATGAGGAGCCTTGCACAAAAAATGAGATTTAAAAAAGAATGGTTTTTAGATTGTTTGGATTTATTTACAACACATCATAATCCAAAAATACACAACAAAGGACAACTCTAAAGACAGAGTCTTGAAAAGTCATACTTTGTGTAATTCCTGAAATATAGTGCATACCTGTCATTTCCAAGGTGTTTGATTTTTCAATTGTTACCATGTTACCATGTTAATGTAGTGAGTTTCCTGTGAATGTTGAAGTCTGCAGGACTCATCAGTGGCATCTGGTTCCTGTAAAAAATAAACACATGTGAACATGCTGATATCAAGAGAAACTATAGGGCTGCACGATTTTGGGAATACATTTTTGATTTTTCTGGTTACAATTTATAGATATATGAACACCAATTTTGTTGTGCATTGTTATAGCCTATGTATAGGGCTGCATAAAATAATAAGAGATAAATAGCAGGCAGCCTATATATCGTTAAAAAGGAACACTTCAGTAACACTACCCTAGACAAAAATATATGGATTATAATACAGTATGTTACTTCAAACGCTTCCATTCGTTATAAAATGAGATAGGAGATGCATATTATTATGTGTCTTACCTTAAAAACGTACAAACTTGACGAAAAGCAGAGTCGCTATTCTTTGTTTTGAGGTGATGAGGGCGGTAACAGCTCTGCGTTCCTCCGCGTGGATTTTTAAAATTCGAACAGCTTGCGCGTGTGTGGGCGTGGTCACATTAGCACTATTTAGCTCGGCCTGGAGAAACTGTACATGTCGTTGCTTTCATACGGATTACCTAAACAGAAAATATTTGTTAAGTGCCTTGGTGTGATACACTTGCCGGAGAGCCATGGCATGCAAGGTGTAGGCGGCCTGTCCACTGGCTTTGCAAGCCTTGACCATAAGAACAGACAAGAACTTACAGGCCTTGGATAGGAGACGCGAATTACCCCACCAGGCGGCAGAGCTTTTGGGACACAGTTGCATCACTACTGCATGCTCCACCAGGGGGATCTCCATGTACCCCTTG